AGGATCGCACATCTTTGGGCACTAGCACCAATATGGCACTCTAGCCCCATAAAAAGTGGAACCTCCGCAACTATATGGCACCTGCACTTATATAGAACCCTTCCCTATCCAGCACTGGCATGTATACTGAACCACCGCACCTATATAGCACCCACGCTCCAGGAAATGTGACAGGATCGCACATCTTTGGCACTAGCACCAATATGGCACTCTAGCCCCATAAAAAAGTGGAACCTCCGCAACTATATGGCACCTGCACTTATATAGAACCCTTCCCTATCCAGCACTGGCATGTATATTGAACCACCGCACCTATATAGCATCCACGCTCCAGGAAATGTGGCAGGATCGCATATTTTGGGCATAAGCACCAATATGGCAATATAGCCCCAAAAATGTGGAACCTCCGCAACTATATGGCACCTGCACTTATATAGAACCCTTCCCTATCCAGCACTGGCATGTATATTGAACCACCGCACCTATATAGCATCCACGCACCAGGAAATGTGGCAGGATCGCATATTTTGGGCATAAGCACCAATATGGCAATATAGCCCCAAAAATGTGGAACCTCCGCAACTATATGGCACCTGCACTTATATAGAACCCTTCCCTATCCAGCACTGGCATGTATACTGAACCACCGCACCTATATAGCACCCACGCTCCAGGAAATGTGGCAGGATCGCACTTCTTGGGCACTAGCACCAATATGGCACTCTAGCCCCAAAAAAGTGGAACCTCCGCAACTATATGGCACCTGCACTTAGGGCTCGCGCACACTGTAGCTGAAAGCGGAGCTGAAAACGGAGCTGATAGCTTATTTTTCAGCTCTGAAAAAACAAACACACTGCACCGGTGCAAGTGCGCACATTGCAGACTGAGCTGAGCTGAAAGCTGAAAAAGCTCGCTGAAATCAGCTCAGCTTAGTTTGATCGATCAAGCATGTTTGTTTTTTCAGCAAGCTGATTGCTGATTTTGTTCAAGTGTATTGGTTCATAAGTGATCGAAAATGGGCTGCAAAACATTTTTAAGCGAAATTACGGTTAACCCAGCGCTGGGGAATAAGCGGGACTATTTAAAATATTTGAATAATAGTTTTATTTCTATAATTTCTATGAAGGCGATAAATTGGGCAAAAAAGTTGTATTATTTACCATTACCAATGTAATGTAAAAATGTAATAATTCGTAAAATAAAAGTAATACGAATACAAACTCAGCGGAAATGTGGTTAAAATACAAAAGAAAGAAGAAAACTTCCGTCTGGCTTTTGTACGTGCTGTGAAGTAATAATTCATTAACAATATAATAATAATAATTATAATGATATCTATTGATGCCACTTAAGGAGATAGACAAAGGGAGGCAGTGGTTTTCAGCTTTCAGCAATCAGATCAGCCGACAATGTACGCACCTGCTAGCTGATTCTGCCTGAGAAAAGCTCTCAGATCAGCTGAGCTTTCAGCTTTGATTTCAGCTCCGCTTTCAGCTCCGCTTTCAGCTCCGCTTTCAGCTACAGTGTGCGCGAGCCCTTATATCTAACCCTTCACTATCCAGCACTGGCATGTATACTAAACCACCGCACCTATATAGCACCCACGCTCCGGGAAATGTGGCAGGATCGCACATCTTGGGCATATGCACCAATATGGCAATATAGCCCCACAAAAGTGGAACCTCCGCAACTATATGGAACCTGCACTTATATCTAACCCTTCCCTATCCAGCACTGGCATGTTTACTGAACCACCGCACCTATATAGCATCCACGCTCCAGGAAATGTGACAGAATTGCATATTTTGGGCATAAGCACCAATATGGCAATATAGCCCCAAAAGAGTGGAACCTCCGCAACTATATGGCACCTGCACTTATATCTAACCCTTCACTATCCAGCACTGGCATGTATACTAAACCACCGCACCTATATAGCCCCCACGCTCCAGGAAATTTGGCAGGATCGCATATTTTGGGCATAAGCACCAATATGGCAATATAGCCCTAAAAAAGTGGAACCTCCGCAACTATATGGCACCTGCACTTATATAGAACCCTTCCCTATCCAGCACTGGCATGTATACTGAACCACCGCACCTATATAGCATCCACGCTCCAGGAAATGTGGCAGGAACGCATATTTTGGGCATAAGCACCAATATGGCAATATAGCCCCAAAAAAGTGGAACCTCCGCAACTATATGGCACCTGCACTTATATAGAACCCTTCCCTATCCAGCACTGGCATGTATACTGAACCACCGCACTTATATAGCCCCCACGCTCCAGGAAATGTGTCAGGATCGCAAATCTTTGGCACTAGCACCAATATGGCACTCTAGCCAATAAAAAAGTGGAACCTCCGCAACTATATGGCACCTGCACTTATATAGAACCCTTCCCTATCCAGCACTAGCATGTATACTGAATCACCGCACCTATATATCACCCACGCTCCAGGAAATGTGGCAAGATCGCACATCTTGGGCACTAGCAACAATACGGCACTCTAGCCCCAAAAAAGTGGAACCTCCGCAACTATGTAATATTCGACGCTTGTCGTGCCTTTTATTTGAATTATGAACGGCTAACTCCCAAAATTACAGCCTAAAACTAGGCAGAAAAAAATTCGAGTTGCAGAGCTTGTGAGCTTTAACCATACATAGAGTATCAGCTGTTTTGCGACCAAGTGGCAACACTAAGATATGCAATTTTTCTGCTTTGCACTATATTTCATTAAATATTGCTGTGGCTGGATTCTGTATAACAGAAAAAGACCATAGAAGGTGTGGAAAAAACGTGGGTTGCTGTACCTAGTAGTCCCAGCCTCTGTCTTTTTACCTCGTGGCCGTCAGAGTGACCGGCAGTGAAAAAAGAAGTCTGCTTGAGCTGACCCAGTTCTCTAAACAAGGTCAAGCCCAAAGTCAAAGCCTAAGTGCAAGTGCCAAGTGCGGCTCAAAGTGACCATTGAATTTGAGTGGACGCGCCAGTTATATATCGCCAATACTGGGGCAGCCGTTCGACCATTTGGAAACGAGCGCCCCCAGTGTATCAACATTTTTCGAAACAGTGGTGCAATTCTGTTGAGGTAATTATCCACCCAGCTGCAGCGACCCGTTGAAAAATGTTCTGTTCTTTCCGTGTAGGATTAGCACCACTAGTATCTACGTATTGAAACGCTGGTCTAGAAGATACGGATTGGTTATTCCCGGAGACCTCTTGGCCACGTGCCCGTACCACCGTTCGGTAGCCGAGGGCATGGACTTGCGCCTCAAGTAAACCCGATCGGTGTGCTCTGCAATCTTCGCCTGGACAAGTTCGACCCATGGGGATGAGCTGAGTGACTCTTCAAATAAACCCGTCACCCCACGAGCAATCCAGTGTGCGAGTGTACCTAACCTCACGCCGCAGATGGACCGCGGTCATTGACCCCTGGCATCGGAAGCAGCTGAGGTTACCTGCGCCCGGTACAATCGTGTGCCACCTTCAGACCTCGAGTAGGAACTCGGTCTCCAGCCGGGAAGCATCGAACCCGCATCGGATTTAGTTATAGTTTCTATCTTTCCTTCGAAATTAGACCCGATATGCGAAACCCTGTTTTGTTATCCGCTTTCTGTTTAACAATGTTCTTTTTATACGGCAAAAATGTGCAAAAGCCAATTAAATACGGTATAAACAAAAAGGGAATTCCTGTCCATGGGCTAAGTCGAACTTGAACAAATGAGTAGTGTATTAATACCGATTATTTTTACAGTTTTTGATTTTGGTTGCCACTCATTCATCTCATCATCTATGCAGATACTCATCACAATCACACACATCATCATACTCATCCACCCATCAAATCACCTCATCCAACACACAACGAAAGATCTTTCTGCGTGGGAGTCAAAGTTATTAATCGTTTCGTAAGTGATTATAAGAAAGAAAAAAAAACAAGTAAGCTGTTAGGTTGTTTTAGTATTATAGCTAGCTTATAATTATTAATGTTAATCTACAATTGTATTTACTATTAACGTTGTACGAAATATCGTAAGTATCTGAATAAGTATCGATATGAATAATCATCAGATAGTTCTAGTTCTGCGAACTATAACTATGCGAGAACTATGGAAGAACTAGAGATCGGAGCTGGGTTGAGGGCACTTTTTGGCTGATCGACAAGACGGAGAGGTTGGAGAAAATAAAGCGAAACAATAATCTTGAAAAGTATAAAACATCCGTGGATTTTCTGCGCCAATAACTTCAGAAGTGGGATCGTAGCCCTTTGAAGTATCTGCCTACATAAGTATTTGTCTACTGGCATCCCCGACAACGAGTATTTTCCACATTTTATAAATGGCTGAGGAAACCATGGCAAACATTGACAAAGAAAAATTGTAGAGTGGTTGCTGGAGAAGGAGATCATTTTTCCAGCCAGCGCAACACTAAGGCAACTTCGCAAGCTTGCCATAAGTGGTGGAATGGACGAAGTTTCTGAAAGTCTGGTGAATAAATCGGATATTGAATCGGAGGAGAAAGTGTCTGAAAATGAGCAGATCGACGATATGAAAGAAGAAGAATTACTTGACGCCGCAATAAGGGTTGCTGAGAAAAAGAAGAAACTGGCTGCCTTAATGGTAATGGACAACCATGTGACCGATGACATCCGAATGGTCAAGCAACTTATTGCCCCTTTTTCTGCCAGTGAAAATGATGAAGCCTCTGAATGGGTCTTGAATTTTGAACGGATTTGCGGAGGCGTGAACGAAAGCAGCAATTTTAAGCTTCGTTGTGTGCGCATGTTGATGAAGGCGGGAACAGAGGCGGACTTGTTCATGCGTGTCGACAAATCAAAGACTTACGACGAGTTTAAAGGAAACTTCCTAAAAACTTTTGGCCGCAGCAATTCAACTGCCGACGTGGTACTCCTGTTGAAGGAAACCTTTTTCAACCCGGAGAAAACTCCGTAATGGGATATATTCTTCGCATGGAAGAAATTGTTATGCGTGCCGACATCGAAGAGAAATTGACAGTGCAGTTCATCATTGATGGTTTTCGTGATCGATCTTCCAGTATCGCCTTATTGTATTCAGCGTCGACCATCGGAAAACTTAAGGAGCTAGCTCGACAATACGAGGCTTTGAGGAAGAGTACCCAGACGAATTTTAGGCGCACTGGGATGACCGCTTCCGGAAATGACCGGAGCCAGGTGCGCTGCTATAATTGTTCAGCACATGGCCATTATGCTTCATCGTGTCCCGCACCTAAGCGGGAGAAGGGATCGTGTTTCCAGTGTGGATCCATGCAGCACCAGGTGAAGGATTGCCAACAGAAGCCTATGTCAGCCCAGCGATCCGTGGGTACAGCCAGCAACCCGCTGATGGACGACAGAGAGGAGAACAATATTTTTGTTCCTATTGTTAATCAGGTAGGGGTATGTTTTTACACTGATATAAAACGCAGGTATCAAATTAAATTTCTTTCTGGCATGTTGGACACCGGTAGCGCTATTAATTTGATGCAGCGCTCGGCGATACCTTATGAAAATTTTTTGATGGTGTACTAAGACCGACAGAGTATTTTGGAGTTAACGGTTCGAGAATAAGCATTTTTGGAAAAATAATTGTCAATTTAGTTTTTCATAACATTGAAAAAGAACTTATATTTTTCGTTGTACCAAACAACTATATTTCGTATAATGTCCTTCTGGGGCGCAGTTTCCTTGAAAATTATGGAATAAAATTAATTTTTGAAAATGAAATTGAAAATAGAGTATTAGTGAACAGTGACTTAGATGAAAATAGAGTATTAGTGAACAGTGACTTAGATGAAAATAGAGTATTAGTGAACATTGAGAGTGACCAAATTGAAAATGTAGTATTGACAAATAGAGACTGTGAGATGATGTTATCAGATATCAATAATAATGGATTATTGAAGGATGAAAATTATGAGAATAAGATTAGTGTCCAATTGAATTGTAATAACATTGACCTTTTATTGAAAGATAACGAGCAAAAGCATATGGCAAGTGAATCATTAGAAAGAACCAACTTAGATATACCGTATATATATAGTATTGAAATAACAAAAGAAGAGGACAGCTATAATATCGACCCAAAGCGAACTGATAAAGAACGTAGTAAATTCATGGAATTGATAAAACTTAACTATTCAGACTTAACTAACATTCCAGCAATTCAACATAACTACGAAATGAATCTCAAACTTAAATCAGAAGAACCTGTACGCACTGTTCCGAGAAGACTTTCATATCAGGAGAAGAAAGAAGTAGATACCCAAATAGATGAACTATTGAAAAAAGGCTTCATAAGAGAAAGTAAATCGCCTTACAGCTCTGCAATAGTATTAGTTAAGAAAAAATCAGGGGAAAAAAGAATGTGTGTAGATTACAAACAGCTTAATAAGATTTGCATTCGTGATGGATATCCATTGCCACTAATAGACGACTGCTTAGAGAGATTAGAATGGAACACAATTTTTACACTTTTAGATTTGAAACACAGTTATCACCAAGTAAAAGTAGCAGAAAGTTCGGTGCAGTATACAGCATTTGTCATACCTAGCGGACAATATGAATACACAAGAATGCCTTTTGGGCTTATGAATGCACCAGCAGTATTTATGAGATTTATTAATTTCATTTTACAACCATTAATTCGCGAAGGTAATGTAGTAGTTTATATGGACGATATCGCTATAGGTTCCAAGTCGTTGAACGAACATCTTATAACAGTAGGTAGAGTTTTAAGAATTCTCGCAGAATATCGACTAGAAATTAAGGTTAGTAAATGTCAATTTGGTTATGAAAGTATTGAGTTCTTGGGATATACCCTTTCTGGTAAAGGAATAAGCCCAAACTGTGAACACACAGCAACCATTAAGCATCTGCCATTGCCAAAATATCGCCATGAAATGCAAAAGGTTTTGGGATTATTCTCTTATTTTAGGCGTTTCATCCCTGCTTACTCAAGAATAGCAAAACCATTACAAGAACTTACAAAACCTGGAACTAAGTTTGAGCTTCAAGACAAATGCATACAAATTTTTGAATATCTTCGAGAAAAACTGATTTCGTCACCAGTATTAGCTCTGTATAATCCAAATCGAGAAACATAATTGCATTGTGATGCAAGTAGTGAAGGCTTTGGTGGAATTTTGTTGCAGAAACAAGATGACAATAAGTTTCACCCAACAGCATATTTTTCACAGAGAGCGACAAAACTAGAGGCAAGATACGAAAGTTTCAAGCTGGAAACGTTAGCTGTGATCTATTCATTGAGGAAATTTCGAATTTATTTAGAAGGGATTCCGTTTAGAATTATAACAGATTGTAACTCAGTAGTTTTATGTTTAGGAAAGGGACGTCTTCATTCAAATATCGCCAGATGGGCCATAGAGCTAGCAAATTATAATTACACTTTAAAACATCGTAGTGGAAAATATATGTCCCATGTGGACACCTTAAGTAGATATCCTTCAGCGCTTAATCAAGATTTTGAATATGAACCAATAGTGACAATTCATGAAAGTGATAACAAAGACCGAATAGTTTCCGTGATTGAGTGCGACGACATTAATCTTCAGCTTCAGATAACACAAAACAGGGACAACCATATAGGAAAATTAAAAGAACAATTGGAGCATGGACCTGTTAAGAAATTTTCATTGAGCGATGGAATTATTTATAAAATAGGTGAGAACGACGTTGAGCTGTTTTATGTCCCAGCTGAAATGGAAACGCAAATAATCAGAAGAGTTCACGAAAACTTATGTCACTTAGGAACTGAGAAATGTATGAAAGAAATCTTAAGACATTATTGGTTCCCGAATATGAGATCTAAAATCGATTTGTTTATAGGAAATTGTTTAAATTGTATCATGTTTTCAGTCCCCACACATGCGAACAATCGAACACTTCACAATATTCCTAAGCGACCAATCCCATTCGACACCTTACACGTAGACCATTTTGGACCACTTCCCGCTGTTATATCAAAGAAGAAGCATGTATTAGTTATCATTGACGCCTTTACGAAATTTGTAAAATTGTTTTCTGTAAATACGACAAGCACTAAAGAAGTCAACACATGTTTTTCAAAGTATTTTCAATTTTATAGTCGTCCACGTAGAATTATTAGCGATAGAGGAACGTGTTTTACATCATTAGAATTTAGTAAATTTTTGTTAGAAAATAATATAGAACACGTGAAAGTGGCAACTGCTTCACCCCAAGCGAATGGTCAGGTAGAACGGGTTAACAGAACTATGAAAGCTATGCTCGCCAAAATAACTGAGCCAATAAATCACGAAGATTGGAGCAAACTTTTAATAAAGGCTGAATATGCAATTAATAACTCAGTCCATTCGACCACGAAAGAATTGCCTTCAGTGTTGTTATTCGGAGTCCAACAGAGGGGTTGTAATATTGACGCGTTAACAGAATACTTAGATGATAAACAAGACCGAACTCAAAGCGATTTAGAATCAGTACGTAAGAAATCTTAGGATAAAATCGAGCATTGTCAGCAGAAGAGTGAAGAGTATTTTGAAGGCGATTTCGTTGTAATGAGAAACATTGACACCACAATAGGTACAAATAAAAAATTTGTTCCGAAGTACAAGGGTCCGTACATCATCAAAAAGGTATTGCCGAACGACAGATATGTGTTAAATGACATTGAAAACTGCCAAATAAGCCAAATCCCGTATGAGGGCATTATAGAGGCATGCCGATTAAGGAAATGGGCAGATTGGCGTAATCAGTGTGAAAGTGACCCCTACTTAAATAGTTAACAAAATATATATATAGTGACATATCCATAATTCCCCACATCCCATACACATTATGTTTATGTACAATTCATCCACCCCATCCACACAAGTAACAGGACCCCACTCAAGAATCAATAACTGTTTCTTCCCATACTCCAAGCTAGGGCCCCCCATAATATAAACAATGGACCACATTGTTTCAGCAACATTAGAATCACGCCACTCTCGAGAAATCGATTCTTTAGAATCACGCCACTCATGAGGACCAATCAAAGCTAGACATAAAACCAAGGAGTATCACATTCCTAGCTCCGTCATGTAATGCAACACCGATCGCCAGCAGTGGATGCCTTTCATCAAAGCCGACGCATCCCCAAATATCGATCCAGGCACGTACGCCACCGACACGAAGATGCAGCCGAGGAAAGCAACGCCCGAAGCCAGAGTCGGGAGTTCCAAGAGAAGGGCTCATGGAAACTAGCCAGCAGCAGAGAGATCAGTTCCGTTTGAGACAAGCAGACCGAAAGTCAAGTCGGGGAATTCATTTAAATCTTGTGACATAAAGATATTTAGGTTTGTAAAATAAAAGTATTTTTTTAAAAACTTAAAATCGAGTTGCGGATATTTAACTGGCGCAGTCGGTAGGATTTCGTTTAAAATTAACACCTATATTTCGGTAATGGTCAGCTTGTGTAATTTATAATTACTGTGATCACGTAATCCCGGAATTGTTAATAAAATTGTGAAATCCGCCAAAGAACCTATGTGCTGCAAGCACATACGATTTGCAAAACTAATTTAAGTGAACTGAAGTAAGCGGAGATAGTGAATCACCAAGGACAGTGAAACACTTAATACAAAATCAAAAAAAACTTACAAGTGAACCAAAATAAAGTTAAAAACTACAACAAAACAAAACCCAATCAACACCAACAACATGGCGTTACCACCACTATCATTGAGCGAAATCCACTTGAACCAGGCACTGCTGTCGATCCGACAAATACCTGCCTATGACGGTTCATCTGGACAGCTAAGCTCATTTATCAAACGAATCGAATATGTATGCGGATTATATCCAACTGAAGATCTTCGCCAACAAAGGATCCTATTTGGAGCGACCGAGATCCAACTGTCAGGAGAGGCACAACGCATATCGCAAATGACACAACCCAACACGTGGCTCGAACTGAAGACGGCGCTGATCAACGAGTTCAAAAATCACACACCATATGAAGAACTCTTACGACAACTATACACCACCAGATTCAACGGCAGTCTTCGTAAGTTTATAGAAGAATTAGAGATAAAAGCATTATTAATAAACAATAAGCTAAACTTAGAAAACATACCAGAAAATAATGTCATTTATAAAAACGCTTTGAACAACACAATTAAAGATGTCATTACTCGAAAACTTCCTGACAGAATGTTCATGACCTTAGCAAGAAAAGATATTACCACATTGTCTAATCTTAAGAAGGCAGCACAAGAAGAAGGATTGTACGAAGCTAGTACAACAGATTCAGGTACAAATAAAGATCAATCGAAATCGTCTCAATCAAATCGAAAGAATGTTGGAAACTATTATCCAAATTATAATACTACTAACTATCACAATCAAACTCAGAGTTCATCTGGAACAGGTCAGACGAATCGAACAAATCAAAATCAAAATTCCCAAAATCCTGGATTATACAATGAGTTCAAAAATTCCTTGAATCAAGGTAGGGCTCAG